CCCGCGAGTATCGCGGGTCCCCCTCTTGTCTTTATACTAATAGCGAAGGCGCCCCCGTGAGTGCGGATACCTAAATCCGTGCATCGGGGGCACCTGGGGGGGAGGGAGATTTTCGTGCACACTTGGGGCAGTCTCCAGGTGTGCACAAAAATCTGAAAACTGAAAAAAAACATCGGGGGGATACTTAAATCCCCCCAAAGTAACAGAGCATCCCCTGCGCATGCGCAGGGAACACTCTGCTAACTGCCTCACTTCGGAGGGGAGGGGGGAGAGACCGGGGAGGCCCGGCGACTGCAAGCTGCATGGGCCTCATTTCGGGGGGGAAGAGAGAGAGAGACTGGTGAGGCCCGGCAGCTGCAAGACACGGGCCTCGCTCTGAAGGGGGGGAAGAGAGAGAGCGGTGAGGCCTGGCAGTCGTGGGCCTCACTTCGGAGGTGGCGGCGGCAGTGGGGGAGAAGACTGCCGAGGCTCGGCGACTGCAAGCCGTGCAGGCCTCGCTTTGAGGGGGGGAAGAGAGAGCGGTGAGGCCTGGCAGTCGCAGGCCTCACTTCAGAGGCGGCGGCGGGGGGAGAGAGAGACCGGTGAGGCCCAGCGGCTCCAAGCCACGGGCCTCGCTTCGGAGGCGAGGGGGAGGAAAGAGATACTGGCAAGATGCTGGGGGGGCGGAGAGAGAGACCGGCGAGCCTTCGGAGTCGGGGGGGAATCCGGGAGCCACAGGTGGTGGTGGAGGAGACGGGGAACGGCGGGATGGGGGGGAAGCTTACCTGCTGCTTCCTCCTCCGCCTGCTCTGTGTGGAGCTCCCCCGCTCCTCCCCTCCGCAATTTTCGCGGGTCCCCTTTCTTGTAGGTAATAAATATGTTAGAACCGGAGACTGATGTGCCCTCATTTGTGAGAATCCTGTCCTTAGTCCCCCATCCATCTCCTTTCTAGCACTGCGGTGAACTTTACAGCATCTTGGCTGTGCAGAGTATTTTCCTTGTCCCCAAAACAGAGAACTACATTTAAATCTACCATTCCAAATTACATTACATATTCAATTACATTCTTAATTGTTAAGAGCAGTAATAACATTTTGTTTCACTAAAACATGGGGCTAACTTGGATATTGTTCCTAACGTATGTGGATGCAATGGACCTCTGTTGTAAGTTTGTGATTAAATCAAGGAAAACTAAAGAAGTGAACAAGGTTCCCCGCACCCAGAGGTTTTCCAGTTAGTGAAGTGGTGACTTCAGTCCCTTAAAAAATGAAAAAGCCAGAGGCTTGATCAGAGGGCCAAGTGCTGTCACTTTCAGTGCCAGCCCCTGGAAGTTCATTTACAATAATTGGAACTTCCCATAAACAGGAGTAAAATTAAATGAGTTTGACAGTATCTAGGCCTGGGGTTTACAAGTCAAAATATGCTGCTGTCCCCCACCATGCATTCCCACCAGACATTTGTAGGCAGCCTACAAGCGCTGCCATGGACTCAGTCAAGTAGACTCCGGTAGAGTCTGATGACAGAGGCCAAGACCTTCTGTAGAGCAGCAACAGAAGATACTGAAACTGAATACAAAGAACTGTGGGGTTGTCTGACGTTTTTTCATCTTTGGCGTTAGCTATGCAAAAGTGCAGTCTCTTCAGCTATTCTACATTCTTAGACATAACGCCTAACTTCTTTGTGTGATTTATAGCACGTTCTCACCCCTGAGCTCATAGTGGTTTACAGCAGCTTCTCCCCCCCTCCCAATGCAAATACATCACTAAGGGGTTTGTAATGTAACAAATGGTTGGGGGAAATAAAAGAGGCCAAATGACATAATGTTGCAGTATCAATAAGTCTGGCCTTTCCCGATGCAGATTATGTAGATGGCAAACTACCCTAAGGGCATCACTTCCTCCTCAGTATAGCTGGTCATGTAATTCTCATTGCCAACTGGTATGGGGCATTTGGCCAAAGTTTAGGAAGAAATGTATGGTAAAAACCTATTGTAAAATGCTTGTCTGTCTGTCTGTCTGTCTGTCTGTCTGTCTATCCATCCATCCATCCATCTTGCTATCAACTTCTTCTGTTAAGCATAATGAGCTACAGGAAGTCAAATACCATAAAGGTAAACCAGCAAGATGAAAAATAAAGGTCATGACACTGAGATATATGGATTTATAATTCCATGTGGCTTGTGGTACCTTCAACATTTATATAATTATATTCAAACATACGTTTTCATGGACTAGAGCCTGCTTATTCAGAAACAATAGAGTGCAGTAATTTTATGTGAGTGTAGGAAAAGAAAAGTCAACAGGGTCAAGGGACTGTAAAATGCAGGAAGTATGGGGTGAAATGTAGCTATGTGAAATCCAAACCTAATCAAGAAAAATGCAAAGACTGTTCACTAATTATGCCAAGCTAAATATGGGTGGATGATTCCCAGGTTTTATATAGTTAATACCTGTAATTAGTTAGGATTTTTTAATAAGGAAATTCTTTTCTAGAAAGGATGGGTGTCTCTCTATTATTCAGCTCCACAGTTAAGAAGTGATGTAATTGAAGAAAGGTTGATTTGTAATAATCCAGCAAGTGTCTGAGATTGTGCTTCCACAGATTTAAAATCTAATTTTGCCCACTGTCATTCTCACAATTACTATTCTCATCCATCTCCTGTGACCAATGGTGATCTTGAAGCACTAGGTTGTAGACCAGGGGTGTCAAACATAAGGCCTGAGGGCCAGAACTGGCCCATCCAGGGCTCTTATGCAACCCGTGAGCAACTAGTGCAAGTGAGGGAACAGGAAACAGCTCAGGGGGAAGTGGGCAGAGCCACTTTGATTGTGGCTTCAGCATGGTGGAACAACCTTGTCTGTAAAGCAGTTTGGGGGCATCTAACCAGTGCTGCACTGCTGGCTCTCCAGTCCACCCATATGGGGTTTCCTTTGCACCCCCCTCCCATCCTATGGGGCCTTGCAGTGAGGATACAACAACTCAGAGTTTACCAGCTGCTGTCCTTTATACAGTTTATATCTCTGGTACCTGGCATTATGCTTTATGGAACACATGGCCTGGCCTGACAAAGTTTCAATTATGTCAGATCCAGCCCTCGTAACAAATGAGTTTGACGCCTCTGTTGCAGACTGTAGGCTGAAGATTACCAAATGTGAAATCAATCTATACTTACACATGTCCCTTTACTTTCACAATGAGGAATCTGACAGAGGTACTGTTGCTGTATCAGAACTATCTGTCTGTCCAATACTCTCTCTTATGCACTCACACAATTACATACAATGTGCTTGAAATATATCAGAAAAACAAAAAGTGGTGGCACATAACATGATCCAAAGGGCAATAATGCTTCTTTGTTTAGATTTTCCTAACCACCCTTTATGTTTCTTTCATAACAAAAGTATAACTACATTGCTGAACATGACATATATCTATTCAGTCCAATATTTTCCAGCTCCATACATATGTTCCTTTGCCTGGAGACTTCCGGAAAGACTTCTAGGGCCTCTCATTTATTTATGTATCCCTAAAGGCAAATAAGCCTTAGATACATAGGTTATGCCAGATTTTTCAGGAGTGAATATGAAATGATAGGGTGCACTGAAACTTTGGACGTGTGTCAGATTATTTTGAATTTTGTACAAGAAGTTTTGAAAGTGAATTTTAGATTTTGAACCATCATTAGATTTTAATTTAAATAGGCTTTCTTTTCAGCTCTTATTTCTATGGCTTCATGTTTAATCCCCCATGAAAGAAAGAAAAAAGTGTACTTCTATTTTGTGTAATTTATTGCTCATATAATGAATATGATCATTTTGTGTAAACTTTAATTTTGTATCAATTTGCAAAAGCAATGGTACCGTGAATGGTACTGTGTTGAATGAATGTCAAATACTATTTCTCCCAGTGCTCAGGGGGTAAATATAACATGATGGCAGAATCCAGAAGTGCTTGCTTTGTGTAATAAGTAGGGTGAGAGGGCTGCCACTTGAGCCTAACAACTTTTGAAATCTTGATTCTTCTGGATGGTATTTAGGCAATCCAGCAGACCAGCAATGAGTAGGAAATTAGAATGTGGAACTAGGAGACCCAGGTTCAAATCTCCATTCTGTCTTGAACATTTCTGTGTGACCTTGGACTACTCACTTTCTCTCAGCCTAAGCTACCTCACAGGGTTGTTGTGAGAAGTATCTGGGAAAACCATGTATGCCACATCAAACTTCTTGGTAGGATAAAAATGTGATGGATAGATAGGCCCTCTACTCTACTTGGAGTGCTATCATGTGCTATGTTTCAGCTTGGGAAAATGGCATAAGAGGGAAGTCTGAACCCCCTCCTCCTGGGATGAATTGAACCCTGGAATGCTTGGCAATGTTCATTTCCTCGACAACATGACATCTGCCTGAAAGTTGGATTGAGGAACTCATGGCAGATTTTATACCTTGTTTAGCTGTCCAATACCTGATATCCAGATCAAGCAACTGGTGGGAGAGGAACCAAACCCTCTTCATTACTCATTTCCCCAGTTCAGTGAAATGCAAAGTGGAATTGAATATACATACAAAGGAATTAATAACCAAGTGAAATGGAAGCTTGTCTAATTTACTTTACAGCTTATTTGACTTCTCTGACTTTTTTTTCTTTTTTATTCTGTCTGCCCCACAGTCTGTTCACAGTTCTCCAAGGGTGTCTATGCTATTTTTGGCTTTTATGAGAGAAGGACTGTCAACATGCTCACATCCTTTTGTGGGGCTCTCCACCTCTGTTTCATAACGCCCAGCTTCCCTGTCGACACTTCCAACCAATTTGTTCTTCAGCTGCGCCCTGAACTGCAGGACGCCCTCATCAGTGTTATAGAATATCACAAGTGCCAGAAATTTATGTACATTTATGATGCTGACCGGGGTAAGTTGTGAATAAGCAATTAAACCAATCAGGGCAGGATATGGGGAGGAGCCTTTTAGTCAGAGGAAGTACTGAGGACCATTGTTAAAGCCTTGCCTCAACAATTAACTTAATAGGTGTTCTTAGGCAAGTCACTATTTTCCTCATCTGCAATGTGTTTTACCTTACAGGACCGTTACGATGGATGTAAAATGCTTGCACATTCTAAAGTCCTGTATAGATATAAATGATACAGATTTTTTTAAAAAACAAGTAGAATTATACATCTAAGCACCTAATGAAGAATGTTTTTGATATCACTGACTATTGTCAGTAATGAGAAGATCTAAGGAAAGATGTACATAAAATTGAATCTGGGATTCATCTTTGTTTCTCTTTCTAACCTCATCCATCCCATTTCTTTCTCAGGTTTGTCAGTCCTTCAAAAAGTGTTGGATACAGCTGCAGAGAAAAACTGGCAGGTGACAGCTGTCAATGTCATGACAACAACAGAAGAGGATTACAAGTCACTCTTCCAAAATCTGGAGAAGAAGAAGGAGCGGGTAGTAGTGGTGGACTGTGAAACAGACCGACTGAATGCTATCTTGAACAAGGTGGGTTAGTATTGAGATGGGGTTCGATGACTGATGGGATAAAGAAAATGGAAGCTATATAAGACAGTGTTTTTCACATTAGGGTGTGAGTATACCTATAGAATCACAAGGATATCTATGTCAACTAGCTTTTAGATCACCTCATAGTACCAGTCAGAAAACATGCAGTTGCTGGGATCCAACAACTCAGCTCTAGGACTGCTAACTGGTTGAATTACTCTAAAGAAGTATATTCCTAATGAAGTTGTTATAATTACTTCAGGTATAGAATCACAGAATCATAGAATGTTAGAGTTGGAAGGAATCTTGCAGGTCATCTAGTCCAACCCCCTGCACTCTGCAGGAGCATAGCCAAAAGATAGCCCTACATACCTACAACATATCCGAAAGATGGTCGTCCAGTCTCCGCTTAAAAACGTCCAGCTAACCTAAGTGCACGACTTTGCACTTATATCTATTGAGATTCATTTTATTTGTCTCCGCCTACTGTTTCAGCCTATCTAGATCATTTTGAATCCTGACTCTGTCTTCTTAAGAATTAGTGATCCCACCCAGCTTTGTGTCATCTGCCCCATGTCTTCCTCCAGGTCATTTATAAAAACATTGAACAACACTGGGCCTAGGACCAAGCCCTGTGGCACTCCACTCGAGACTTCCCTCCACATAGATGCAGAGCCATTTACGAGCACTCGTTGGGTACGATTTTTCAACCAACCATGAATCCACCAAACGGTTGCACCATCCAGCCCACACTTAACCAGCTTATCCTCAAGGATATCATGAGAAACTTTGTCAAATGCTTTACTGAAATCTAGATACACTATATCCACAGCATTGCCAGAATCAACCATTTTAGTAACTCTGTCAAAAAAGGAGATAAGGTTGGTCTGGCATGACTTATTCTTGATAAACCCATGCTGGCTACTTAGCTGTTTTTCACTCTATTTTCCAATGCAAAGTTAGCTTTCAATTTGTTACCAGAATTTCAGGTTGTGTGTAACACTATTTTCTGCATGCAGCTCTAACAAAAATTCCCATCCCTGTCCACCTTTGCACATCCAGCCTCTACCTAGAAGTTATTAAGTTGCTATCTCCAGTGAAAAGTCCTTTACAATCATGGCATTAGATTGATTAAAACTGGTCAGGGCCTTTTGAGTTGTCACCTTATAGAATCAGCTACCTTCTTAGGCCTGACCTTGTAGGCCAGGTACAGATTAAACAAACATTTTACTTTTAAAGTATAGCTGATGTTCTCATGGTATTATTGTTCTGACGACACGAGAGGATAAAAACTTCCACAGAGCATGGCAACTTGTCGAGCACATTGGAAGGACCTATCTGGTACATGACAAGCAATGACAAGGAAAGAGAGGTAGACTTGTGTGTGTGTGGGGGGGGGGGTGTCATAAAAATACTTAATCCACACGGGAGTTCCCAGGTTGCTAAAGACTGAGAAACACTGGTATATGACCTGAACATTTTTACTAGTTGCTTTTAGCATTTAGTTTTGTTTACTGATTGATAGAGCTATTTTGATTGCAGTACTTTTACTGTAAAGCACTTTAAGTGCCTGTTTGTTACAGAAATAGTGTTACATAGTATAGTGCAGTATATCCTACTATCTGCTGGCTTTCAGAACAGAACATATACAGGGCATGTTGGGGGAAAACTGAGTCTCAATTCAATCCCATAAATCTTACAACTTAATTTTTGGACAGCTTTTTCCACACAAACTTTTTGCCCACATTTCTAATTTAACAGTGAAAGTTTTTCTTACCTGAAACCCGGGTTCTTTAAGATCTAGAAATTTTTGCCATTAGATAAGCATTTTGTGTTCACCTACAATGTGTATTACATCAAACTCCACCAATAAATTGTCCCCATCATAGAGAGTAATACTGAAGTGATGGTGCAATCTTTGTCAATCAGGGAAGATCACCTAATGCCCCTGGCTGGCTTGGTCTATTCCTTCCCCACCCATCCATCCATTTATCCATCCATCCATCCATCCATCCATCCATCCACCCACCTTTCTTCTATTTCTCTGGCTGTGATTCGAAGAAACTATCTCCTACCATAACAAGTGGGATGGGGCAGCACTTACTGAAGAGAATAAAGTCCTTCTGACTGAAGAGATGGAGGCAGAAGCTGCAGAACAGGACACGAATGGCCAAAGAGATGTAAAGAGATACTCGGTCTTCGTTCCTAGCCAGCTTGGGACATTCCCTACCTTTCTCCCTCTGACTTTAATTGGAGGTACTGTGATCTTGTGGGTCTGAAGCAGGTCTTGCAAAACTCATTGGAAATTGTCACTAGTTACAATTGGAGAGAGAAGGAGGAGGAGGTATCTTGCTGCCTGGGGGTCCAAACCAGGCTGAAGAGGTGTGCCCTGCCTACTCCTCCTGCTGCCTCGCCTAGTGTATGCATGGAGGAATGCATGCCACCCTCTCCCCACTGTTGTCACTGCTGAGTTCCAAGATCTGGAGTGGGGTGGGGAGAGTGACATGAGCAGTAAAATATATTGAGCTGGCTGTGCTGTATCTTTTTTTTAAAAAAATGTATCCCTACCTCTACTCAAGTTCTTATGATCAATTATAACGGTAGCAGGGTTGGGATCAGGGACTATTGATTGGGACCTTCTAAATTCCACTTTCCAACAAGGGGTACAGTGTCAACCCTCTGGTCCTGTTGTTTCTTCTTTATGCGGTACTGTGTATGTGCCTCCCCTTTTTTACTGTGCAAGCAAACAAAGTACTAAGGAGATAGAAGGGCTACCATCAACAATCTCACCATCTGATCAGCTGTGCAGATTAGGCCTAGAGAAATCAGCAGTAGAAAACCAGTTGGTCCACCCACGGAAGGGAGTCCACTGATGGCATTTTGTCCAAGGACCCCCCTTTTTTTCTCATAACTGCTTAGGAATTTCATTTCACATTCCAAAATTAGGGATGATTTTCACTCCCGGGGCAGAAATAATTTCTATTCACTGTTGCAGAGCCATGTCTGAAAAACAACAGGTTTCAGAATATTTAGGCAGTTTCTGCAGAAAGACAGATAAATAAATTTATAAACTGATGTACAATTAAATCATGGAACACAGCCCAATGACGGATTTTGTTGTTGTTCAGTCGCACAGTCGAGTCTGACACTTCGCGACCCCATGGACCAGATCACGCCAGGCCTTCCGGTCTTCCACCGTCCTCTAAAGTTTGCTCAATTTCATGTTCGTTGCATCTATGACACTGTCTAACCATCTCATCTTTTTTGCCGTCCCCGTCTTCTTTGACCTTCAGTCTTTCCCAGCATCAGGGTCTTCTCCAGGGAGTGCTCCCTTCTCATTGGGTGGCCAAAGTATTTGAGCTTCAGTTTCATTATCTGGCCTTCCAGGGAACAGTCAGGGTTGATTTCTTTTAGGATTGACTGATTTGATCTTCTTGCAGTCCAAGGGACTCTCAAGAGTCTTCTCCAGCACCATAGTTCAAAAGAATCTATTCTTCGGCGCTCGGCCTTCCTTATAGTCCAACTCTCGCAGCCATACATGACTACTGAAAGACTATTGAAAGAGGTAGTCAATCTTTAAAGGTACAATTGTGGTCTTAGGGTACTGTCTCAGTGATGATCTGGTTCTTATAGATCCACATGGGTCAATGCAGGGGTAATTCATGAGGACAACCAGATGGATTTCACCTAGAGAACTGGTGTTGAGTAGTGATGGGCATGAACTGGGAAAATGTGGTATGGTTCATGGTATGCCAGCTTCATGAACCATGAAACATCACAAATAAACCAGTTTCATTTGTGAGGTTTGTGACATGGTAGAACACCCCTCAGCATGATAGAGACACCAAACTCACAAGGGATATCCGGCTAACCCACCTCTACCTACATGCCAAGGTTGGTGAGGATTGAATTTATGGGGTTCGAGTTATGGCTCCCCCAAAGAAGGTGTCCCCAGGAAAGCATTTTCTGGGGAAATGACAAGCACAGGTTCATGAGGGTCAGGATTGTATAGAATGGATCCTGTGCAAATTAAAGATGCCAAACATGCAAGAGATCTCCAGATGACTCTCCTCTACTTGCCCTCCAAGTTTGATGAGGATTGGATTTATGGGGTCCAAGTTACAGCCCCCCAAAGAAGGTGCTCCTATGGAGGGAAAAACAGCAAAAAAGCAAGGACAACAGAAGCCATGCAGAACAGAATCGAAGTCCCAGAGAATCTCTGCAGTAGAAACTGAAGGTTGGAGGCATTTTTGCAAGCCCAGCAGAACCAGTGCAATGTGCCCAGCAGAACTAGTGCCACTGTGGCAGAAATAAGGGGACACGTTGTGCAAATCCCTGTACAGATTCTGTCTGCTCTGATGCATAAAAATTGTGCATGGCAAAACAGCTGCTGTGCTGGAACTCTGGGATTAGAGTGATTATCAGATTAATCTCACTCTTCCCGTGGGCTTCTCCCATCTGTTTATTTGTATTCACCTGTTGCCTAATGTTTCAAGACTGAACTAAGATTTCTGCTGCTCAGAAGCCATTCTTGCATTCTAGAGGCATTCAACTCTGTTGTCACAAATATTTCCCCATTCTTTAAAACATGCCACACACTTGAAATATAATGATAAAAGGGTCGGCAGCAGGATTTAACCCCCAGCGCCAAGCTTCCTTCTGCCAAGACAGCCGTTTATCTTTAAGTATAACGTAGACATAGGACAGAGAACTTCGTAATGTGCTCCAGCCTTCCGAGTTTTGGCCTTCCCATTTCTGCAATTTGTAACTCCAGGTTTTCACATTGCAAAATATAGTGGCATATTTATGTCATTTTTGGAATTTAGTTTCCACAATATTTGAATTTAGTTTCAAGGAAGATGTGTTGTTCACAGATCAAGCACATGTGGCTGACACCTGTTTACTATCTCACCAAGTGCTGATTGAACTTCTCACAAAGAACTCTATGAAAGCATGTATGCCATCTCAGCAATAATTGTTGCTTCTACCAAATCCAGATG